AAGCACTGGCTAGACAAGTCTGTAAGCACTCAGCAAAAATGTAGTTCAGAGCAGTGTCCCCCACTAACACAGTAACTTCCTAAGGTGAACTTGGACTTCTTCTCTACCCCATGCAACCCAGTCTCAAGAATGTGTGCACAATAATGGAAATAGATTATATGAAAGAACTTTAGTATGGGCCATTACTGAGATTGTGATTTCATTTCCTGGCCATGGGAGACTGTTTGTGGACTGTTTTCCTCCGTGTCTCACCCAGAGCTGCTATGGCTTCCTGTCATGCCACGCAACTGACATTTCAGTCAGATTTCATCCCTAACTGCATCTGGAGGAATAATGTGGGTCTCTGTCTTCCTCTTGCAGATGTCAGGGGAGTCATGATTCAGAAAGAGTGGTGTTAAGATCATGAAGGGAGAGAGAGTAGTTTATAAATGGAGATAGACCTTGGTTTCATCACTTTGTTATTTATTTCCCTAACAGATCACTGGGACTAACAATGTGAATTTGTATTCTGTTAAAAGGTTTGTTTCAAAGAAAATATTCTCTAGTCTAGGTTGCTCTTCACAGACTCACGATTTTCAACCTTCTTACTTATTCCCTTTCAAGGATGCTGCTATTTCACATCAATAACTGACACCTTTATTTCAGAGCACAAAATAGAATTACACTCCAGCCTTGACAATATAATAAATCAGGAGGGATAAAACACATATTAGTGAAGTTCACATAGTTGGTTTGTCCCAGCTGACCTATAGATATAAAGGTATGATTAAAGTTTTTTTGGACTGCTTCTTCTCAGTTGTGACACAAGATTTAACTCTGACTCAAAGATTTGACCTTTGCTGCTCTTCTCTGCTTACCTTGATTCTGTGGAATTATTGTTATTCCCTTGAAGCCTTACTGCCAGCATGGAATTAACACTCTGTTGTGACAAAATATTGTGTATTTGGCAGAAGAATGAAGCCATCTAGAATTCAATCAGGTTAGACAATGTCATGGTGCACATCCTGAGTGAATCATTTCTCCCCAGCTTTTTTAATCAAAGAAATCTTGGCCATATAACCTGGAAGAGTAATGCTGGATAGTCACATAGCTGTCTACAATTAAAGTTTAGGCACATCAGGGTTTTTTTTATGAATTACGGTTTGAAGGATGCCTGCCAGAGCACTTAATCTTTCAGATGGGTAACAGAATAAAATCTCAAAGCCGCAGGTTTATTTAGAGTATGAAAAAATTTATTAACCTTCTTGGAAGTGTTTTTACTGAAGAAGTTCCTTGTGGTTCACCATATTGGTAAAAACAAGCATAAATAAAGGAAGGTAGGAAAAAACATGAACTGAATACTCCTGTGGAAAACAATCTGTGGTATTTATGATTTCTCCACTGGGGATGAGATTATAAAATGAGGGAAATGCATACAGTTTTACTGGGTCTATCTAGATTAGTTGTAGCAGAGTGTATTACCCAAACCAGCTGTTTGGGAAGAAGTAGTTATTGAAACTATGTGTGTTTTTCATCATGTAGTAAATAGGACTTTTGTTGCTTTTAATGGAGTTTCTGTTGTTTTCAATTCTATGTATGATTTCTTTTTTCATGTAGTTGTTATCTGTCTACTAGTTTCATCATTACTAAATCCATGTGTTCTCCTTGAAACTAAATCCAGATAAGTTCCACACCATTTCCCTCTAGCCTTTCCATTTATATTATACACTAGAAGAATTTAAGCTAATGCAATAGTGTCAAATTGAGATGTATTTCACAGTGCACTTTTCCCCTGATGAGGAATGGGCTAATGTAATCAGCAATTATTTTTTGTGTGACCTTTACAAATCAAATTGTTATTTCCTTGCTTTTCATTTGAATTTTGCTCCCAGTGGTGTAGGACTGCTGCAGCTAGTAAAAAACATAATTTATTGTTAGAATCGCATTATAATAGTCTCAAAAACCACACGTATTGTATGTTTTAATGAAATAATTCAAAGAAATGTATAAGCTGGCCAAGATGAAAATTTATGCTTTTAGTTCAAGAGGAGTTTCCACAATCACCAGAGATGTTCTGGAGCAGCTACAGAGTAGTGAGTGGACCTTGCCTAGGATAGGTCCCATGTTAGTCATGGAATTACAACAGAGAGTTGCAATAGCACTAAGGATCCAGTCTGGTGACTGCAGGAGATCCTCTTACCACATGTTCCTGATTTACACCTACTGGGTGAATAAACAGCACAGCTTAATGCCTTCCCAATATAGGCAGTTGTGGACACTTTTCCATGACTGCCTGGTTCTTTTTGGATCTAGAGAGCATTTGTTCATGAAAGGCATCCAGTGAGTAACTGTGCGTGGAGTCGATGAGTGAAGGATGATCTCTATCCATGAGACTTATTTCCATTATGTTAATGCATTCCTTATGCCCACATACCTCTTCTGAACAACTTAGCCTTTCTTATAAATGACATAGAAGAATTTCACCCACTCCCCCATTTTTTACAAAAGTACAGATAACCAAAAAAAAAAAAAAAAAAAGCTATGCAACACTAACTAAAACTCATCATGATTCATTTACTGTAAGTTAAGGAAACCTTTTAGAAATAGGATGTTCTCTCACTTATTCAGTGACTCAACTGATAAAGCCTGACTTTCAGAAAATATAAATTATTAGCTCACTGGTTTAGGTATATGTGTATACACACATATTTTGAGGGAAGATACAAATCCAGAACAGAAACATGCAGGATCATACAATTTCTTGTGTTCTTGTTGTTCCTGTGCTGGTCACATGACATTTCTTAAGGGCTTTTTCCTGGTATTTCTCAGATTTCCATGTAGTCCCAGGAAGTTTGCTGTAATAAAAGGAGGCCAGGATGAAGAGAAGCAATTTTAAAGATCATAACAGGAAAAATAAAATAAAAACTTTCTGTATTCTCACATCATCATAGTAGTTGTGTTGTGATGTGTTTAATTCTAAATTTTCACTTTCTCGGAGAAGTACAAAAGGAAAAGTTTCAGTAAAATGTTTCATGTTCAGGTTCAGTTCTGTTTTATGGAAAATATATTTAAACTGAGAACAGAGAGAAACGCACATACAAAAAAAATGTATATATTTTATATATATGCATGTATGTCCATGTATTTTTTAATATGACATGCACCTAGAAGTTCACATAGTATATTTACTCAGAGAAATTGTGGAACCGCCTTCTGTGGTTGTCCAAAGAAGTTGTGGTTGCCTCATCATTGGAAGGGCTCAAGGTCAGGTCAAATGTGCTTTGAGCAACCTGATCTAGTGAAAGGTGTCTTTACTCATAGCAGGGGGGTGGGAATAGATGCTCTTCAAATGTCTCATCCAACCCAAACCATTTTATGATTCAATATTGGAAAGAGAATAAACAGGGGAAAGGCCATCTCCCAAAAGCAAATAATTCAGTTTCTGGCATGGTGAATGACCTCCATGCTAAAGCAAGTGAGGGATGCATGAAACATGGAAAATACCAGTTCTCAGCACTGCAGAATAAATATCTGCATAAAACCACCATGGTTTCATTTGCAGTTTTGGGGGGCTATTGTACTGATTCTTCCCTGCAAGCCTGTTATGGCTTGTAATTTTGTGACAAATGAGAACACCGATCTCCTGAATTTGGATAATATTTCTATTTGACAATTAGCAATAGGATCCATCTAGCTCAGGAACATATCTTTCTGAGCACTATGTGGGCTTACTGCAGCGTGTGCTTACATTTCCACTGCAGATACAGGACTTGGTTTCTTGACTGGTTTGGTGGGTTTTTAAGTCAAAGAAAATATGCACATTTGAGCTAATAAGATTGACTTTGTACTTTGATATGATTTATGAAGGACTCCTTTTTACTCATCTTGCTGTCCTTATCTCTCAGATTCTTTACTGATATGAACCAGTTCAATGAAAGAAAAAGATATTGTTGAGCTAAAACTCTGCTGCCACCAAAAGCCTGTACATTGAAGGAAGTATTTAGGTTTGCCATTCTCCTAAGTAGCTTTCTAAGCGGTATTCTGAGGGATCAAGACTATATCACTCAAACACAAAAAACTATGATTACAAATAAATATTAAGTGTTTCGCTAATTATCCCTCATCTGCTATTTTTCTGATTGTACCAGCCTTATTTTATCTCACTGTTTTAGTTAGAGAAGTCAGAGATCTCTGCAGTGACTGAGAACAGATCCAGTTGGCAAATATGACAAGTTTGTCCTTTGCATTGCTGGGTTCTGGTTAGTTCTTAATTTATGAAACCTCACCACAGATGGCCTCTTGCTAAATTTCAAAACACTTCCATGTTTCAGAACCAGGCTACCTTTCAGCAAGTCACTTTTGTCAAAGCCTTGGTGTTCCTTCAAGACATTGTCAAGGAGTCCTAAGAAAACGTACAAACTGTGAATGCCCTGTTCTGTTCTGCACCATGTATTTGAATCTCTGGATTTTATTTAAATGAAACGAAGAAATGTGTATTTTTTCTGCTTAAGAATAAGTTACAGCAGGACTATTATTAGACAGAAGAAGTAAGTGTGCCTTAGATGGTGATTAAGAGTTGTGTTCTTCGTCTTTAAATGACTAACCTGGAGTGAGAGGTTGGATGTCTTTTGAAAAATTAAACCTGTTTCACCTGAACATGTTTAACTAGTTAATAAGAAACATCAAAAAAGACAAAACCCTGAGGTCAACTATCATTTTTTTGTAAAGCCATTCGATGATGTTTAAATTTGTTTTTTGGGTCTGTCTATAACATAAGTTTAATAACCTAGCTCAAATGCAGATTTCTAATTTTCAATTAACATAGGAATAATTTTGTTTGCTAAAATAAAATAAATGAATGAATGAAAAGTCTGAACCATGAAATGTTCTAGGTAGCACTTTTTAAAATTCCAAATTTCAAAAAATCATGTGGCAACTGTATAGCTCAAGCTTTAAGTATTAACTTTTAACCTTTGACCTTACAGATTTTAACCAATGAAATGTCTCTTTAAACTTTAAAGGAAACAATGATAACGAGCGCCTGGCGATTGCTAGACAGCGAATTCCATATCGACTTGGTCGAGTAGTTGATGAATGGCTACTCGACAAAGGTAAAAAACATTGATTAAAACTTCAAATAAAAAAATAATTTGAACATAACCAAGTAGTGCTTCATTGTAACACTAATAAACATAAAAATAAATTTCAGTAAAACTAAATTAAAACAAATTTTAAAAAGTAAAATATAGAGTAATATTTGCATACCTTGTATAATAATTTCTATACATTTCTAGAAGTACCAGCTGTTTAATAATCTTACCCTGTTAACTTAAGGTTAAAGGGACTGTTAAATATAATCCACTAACTCAATCTATGAAGGTACTCATAGCAAACATTAACCAAAAATTATAAATCATTCATAGATTATATTATATGTTCCAGCATCTAAATTATTAACTAAAAATATCTGTAGTTATGATATCTTCATTATGGTCCTGAAAAAAAATTTGTTTAAACTGTAGGTATCTTAAATAGTGGGCAATATGAATTGCCAATCAAAATGAAGTCCCTTTAACGTTTGCAACCTTCTAAGGGGATTTTGGAACAAACACTAATTAAAAAAGAACTTAAAGTTGTGTGCATGCTTTTTGTGAGCAGAAACCAAATAGTCACTAAAGTGACTATTCTATTTACTAAGAGTGGTACTGTTGCTGAGGATTTCTCTGTTTAATGGAAATGTGCCATGATTTCTCCATCGGTATGTGTATCATTTCTAAAGCCGCTTTTACATCTAAAATATTTTATTTTAATTGATAGCCTTGCTGAAAGCCAATCAGACATCTATTTTTGAATCTGCCTCTGAGATACTCAGTGTGAACCATGTGTTTCTTTTCAGTGTGTATGTTGAAGGGAAATAAAACCGTTTAAATACAAAAAGGAAATATTTAATTAAAAAATGTAAATATCCACTTATCTAGAGATGCAACGGATTACTGCATAAATTCTTTAAAATTCACTTCACCTAGTGACTTGATGGCATATATATATAAACTTTGTGTGTATATACATATTTCTATATGTCTATACATACATCAACTCACTTGTACATAAAGCTATAGGCTCTATGCTGCATTACGTGGAAAAAAAACCTTTTTAATGTTGGCAGACTTGAAGAAATAGTTATCTTAAGGAATTAGAAAACCTGGAACTCTTGAGACACACCAAAAAGTTAACACTACTTTCAAGTAATAGGGAGAGGGGTATTTCTTGTAGTGCCAAACACATTTGCAAATATATTTGATTGGCCTTTTAGCAAAAAACATATAAATCCCAAATCGTCGTAAATTAAGAAAAATGCAAATGCTCTCAAAATTTATGCATTTCATGGACACCTCATTAAAAAGCAATGAATTATGAGTCAAATACTTTTCTTATAGTTTATTGCTCTCATTTTTCACCCCATGACAATCTGTTATCACTTGTGTAGAGTACAGCGTTCACAGTCAACATTTTTGCATGTATATAATATTATCTTCACAGGGCGTCAGCTCACAATCTTCAATAGCCAAGCAACCATAAAAATTGGAGGCAAGGAACGTGGCCACCCTTTCCAAGGCCAGCTCTCTGGTCTTTACTACAATGGCTTGAAAGTTCTGAATATGGCAGCAGAAAATGATGCCAACATCGTGATAGAAGGAAATGTGAGACTTGTTGGTGAAGTGCCTTCCTCTATGACAACCGAGTCCACAGCCACCGCGATGCAGTCAGAGATGTCCACTTCAGTCATGGAAACAACTACCACGTTGGCCACGAGCACCGCCAGAAGAGGAAAGGCTCCGACCAAAGAACCCATTGGTCAGGTTAGTCAGCTTCCTCGCCTTTTGCAAATATCTCTGCGCTTCTGAGCGCGGCTTCCTTTGTCGCATTCCCTCTGCAGATGAAATTGTTCCTGTTAAAGAAACGCATGAGTTATTGTTGAAAGTTCTGTACCGTACACAGCTCGTGGATGTGATGTTCATCAGCATTTTGAGGGAAAGTAAGGGCTTTGCTTTTCTTCTAAATTAGGCAAACTTACCAGATCAGATTGTTCTGGTGCTGAGTTATATTGCTCTGTCATCCATCTTCATAGTGGTGCATATTTTTAAATACCGTTTTTTCCTTTGATGGCTTACATTGATTACTTTCAGTGTAGGAATGCAGCATGTCTGGAATTAGAGATAATGAAATGGTGACTTTATCCATGAAATAGAGAAAAGAGACCCAGTTTTAAGAGAGAACAGGAAGGAGGTGTGAAGACAAAAAGTTGCAAGAGGCTGGAAAAAAGGGAATTAGCACTTTCTCTAGTCCCACGATTGATCATCTTCTCTGGCAGTACTCCTCATAAGAGGCAGTGGCAGCAGAGGGAATTAAGAGCACTCTGCACCATGGGAGACTCAGCATCCAAGTCATAGGCTGTTGTTTACTGTTTGTTGGGGTTATTTGCATGTCATGAATTTGGTGATATATTTAGTTGCTTTCAGGTTTTGTCAGGATCTCAGTATAATATGTGGGGAAAATTAATTATTGGGAAAAGAGGGGAGAAAAAAGGTGAGTGAATTAAGTACCTTCATCTTGTGGATACCCTGAGCAGTCAGACATTGTGCTTTAAAAAACCTAAAACTTATCAAAATTCTCCTGTAGTGGGGAAGATTCTTTTATATTTATTCCTTTTTTAAAAAGAAAAACAACAAAAAAACAACCAACCAAAAGAAAAAAAAACCAGACAAAACAAACAAACAAAAAACCCCTCAACCAAACCAAGGGGGAAAAAAAGTACACTGCTAAAAGCTTCTCTTGTTCATTTGGTTCACAAGCTTGTTTGTGTGCCCACTGTGCCATCAAGCCATGACAGACAGCTACACTCCTGAGATCCAGAAGTAGGACAAGGAACACAGAAAGCATCATGAGGGAGGGACAGGATGTGCTGAATAAGGTTCATTTTCTCAAGAATGAAGCACATGCAGATTAGACAGAGGCTAAAGTCAGGTTGCCTGTTTTCTGTGTAAAAACTCAAGGCACAGTGTGAATTGGAGCATCAGACTTGACACTTCAGTTTTTCTGTCTGTAGTATCTTTGTATGCTTTATACTATGGATCAAAAACTACAGTGAAGTAAAAGTTAAAATCGTTATTTAACAAACTTGAAGTAGTACATTATAGGTAAAAATGATCCTTAAAAAAAGCATTTTGACTTGCAGGTTGCAGGGGATTTGAATAATTATTGACATAAGTGACAGAGTTTTAATAAATAGCAATACATTTTCTTTGTTCTTAATTCTGTTTTAAATAGTATCTTGCACTCTATTATCCAACCAGTCTTACCTCAGTTTTTTGCAGCAGCAAAACTTAAGACTTCATGAAATTTACCGAAGGAAGATATGCCTCTAAAAGTGTAGAACACCCTCATGGTGTGGAATAATTTGAGCTAAATTAATGCTACTAAATTAAAATTAAACAAAGTTAAGCTGTTCTGTAAGTTCCCAGTATACTGTTGGCCTCTGCCACTGTGTCATGTAACTCCCAGGCACAATTTTGGAGGAAGAATGTCACACGGACCATTCTCAGTTGGCACCTTGCAGGATCTGTAGGCAGCGGGAATTTACTGGTATAATTGCTTTGCCAGTTGACCTCAGTTTCTGGGAGTATTCCCCAGTATAATTTGCACACTATTTGCATGTTTAGCCACTAAGACTCTTTTCGAGGTGTTCCAATGGGATATTTTTGGAAGAAAATTTCTTAAACTAACAACTGTGGTGAGGTGTAAATTTTTCTGAAGAGTGGAAGCAAAACAATTAGGCCAAAGTGATCTTCCCAAGCTGATCTGTTTCTAGGCTGTGGTGCCTGAAATAAGATGTGGTCCTTATTGACTCTATCAGAATGTCCACTCAATTTTTTAGAGAAGCTCGTTGCCACTGGGGCTGAGTGACCCCAAGACAGTTCCTCATCTCTTTTTGGCTGAAGTGGCTATGCCCAAATTACCATGAGCTCTTTGATACCCCACCATGAGGAGCTTCCAGCAGGCTCCAGGAGCACCAAAAGGAGCAGAGCATGGCTCCAAAACAAGTTTTGAGGGTGAGGGTTTTGATCAGCTTCTCTCACCTGTTAGCCTGGCTGGAGCAAGGAGTTCATGCAACCTTTGGGAAACTCCTGATTTAGGAGCCTGAAAGCAACATTTCTGAGGAAGGCATTCCATGGTAACATCTCTGCAGCCCTCGGGGCATCTTGACTGTATAAATGACCCCTTCTTGACTCCATCTATGTCTGAATGTCCTGCCTGGTAGAATCTCTGTGTGTCATTTCATACACTTAACTAGTCAGGGACTGCCCTGGAACACACTTTGCCATCAGGCCAATGATTTGAATTTGAGAGATTGATAACCTCCCAAAGTCAGAGATGAAATTTGTCCGCAGGATGCTATACTATTCATGCAACAAAGACATAGGAAGCTGCTGAAGCACCTTAGAGACATAATCTCTTCATTCATATGACACCTGGAAAGGCTGACCTGGAACACAGACTAGACAAAGCAAAAGGAATAAAATAGGTATTTATTGAAAAGATACACCGTGGGTAGTGCAACACCCCGGCCAGGGCTACACCCAAATCAAATCCCAGATAGATTCTGGTTACGAGTTTTTTACTCTTCTATAAGTTTTGGTTCATCTACATATTGGGGTCAACTGTCCAACCACAGTCCCAGGCCATGAAGTCTCAGTCCCTGGCTTGCCCTCTTTCCCTTGCTGTTGTTTATGCTTTTTGGGTAACAGGTGTCTTTGATTTTCTAGCTGGGAAAGGATTGTTTTGTCTAACTACCCTTTGAAGAGAACTTACTAACACCTAAAATGAAGTTTCAGAGTTACACATCAAGCAGCAGAGAATCTGAAAAATATAAAAGCTGAAACCCAAGGCATCAATACCTGGTTCTTATTCTACCTGCATGTGATAATTTCTGAGCTTGTGATCCATATGGCTCCCACGGGTATGTCCTGCAGGGTGCTGAGTAATTGTTTTCCACCTTGATGTCACTGGAGATAAAGGCACTCACCATCTCATGGAAAAAATCTACCTTTGATTTGTTCATTCTGTTTCTTTTTTGCCCTTTTTTTTTCCCCCTAATTTTTGCTTATATATGTCCTCTGCAATGGTGTCCACTACACTGACATACAGTAATGCACAAGAAGAAAAGTCACCTCTCCAGTATTAATTAGGTTACTGAGGAAAATATCCAGCTGAACAGCAATTGCCAATGAAAAAACCTTACATTACTGCAAACCGGTGCAGGGCTGAAATAGAATAGAAGCAAATGATCTAATCAGTCAGAAATTGTTTGCTCCATTTGCAGAAGTATTGAATTCAATTAAAGATTGCAATACTTAAAGAACATCATTTAAATCTCTATTTATAGGAGAGGTTCTTTTAAAATACCTACAATGTTTAATTGACGGAGTCTCTGCTCCCTCACAGATATTGACAAAAGCAATATACGATGCAAGATACACATGGGACTTCCAGAAACTGTGTTGAATACTGTTCTGCATGATTTTAGATGAAGGAGGTCTTAGTCCTTCTGAGAAAGAAATGCTTTGTGCTGAAGACTTTAAATGACGGTTTCCCCAGCTTGGAAATGTTTTAACAATGGATGTTTTGGTGATGACAGACATCTTAATTATTGCACTGGGAAATGTAAATTTTTCAAAGGGGAGAAAGGTACTCAGAGCTTATTGAATGTCAATAGTAGGTGAATGCCTGATTTTCCTTAGTGCCTTAAATCCTCCCCCCTACTCGCCATTTGATTATAATGGCATTCAAGCTGTCAGCCTCCATGCAAGGCACTGTGTAAACACAGAGGAAGTAAAAGTCCCTGCCTCCAGTATCTCATGGAATAAACAAAAGTATCAGGTAAGGAGGAGGGAAAAAATAGGAAATCAGGAGGTGGGAGGAAGAGGGAAATAAAGCAAGCATTGTGTTGTTTCAGTGTTGACAAGTGTGCAGATTTGCAGCCATTGTGGGAAGGACACTTTACTGGGCTGTGGTTTTTTATCCAGGATTTTTATCCAGACAGCTGTAGGATCACCACAGAGCTACAGCAGATTCTGGATCAGGCTATTTAAGGACTGGGCTGCCTGGTCAAGCAGTTGGTGCAAAATCGGCACCAGCTCTGGGGGAAGCCCTGGCCACTGGCATGGGAGCTGAGGATTGCATGGGAGGTCCTTTGCTTCCCCCACACTGCATGGGAGGAGGCTCAATATTTTGGATGCCTTTATGAGCATGGAAAGAAATCCCCAGCTTAATTTTTGCAAGAACAGGACTTGTGTGAAATGAAAATATGTGCTGCTAACTTTTAGGGAGCCTTAAGTATGTACTTGGACTCAGAAATCATGGATTTGGTCTAAGAATTTTTTTGAAGTTATACAGCAAAATGATACAGTTAAATTCTTCCTTCTTTTTGTCTTTTATTTTTAACACTTTTACAAAATCTAATTTGCAAGTTTTTCTATTCAGTCGTGAAGGTGATAAACATCTTTTAAAACTGAAAATAAAGATTCTCATGTCGTAGAACTCCAGGAGCTGAAATGTTAAGCTAAACACTGAGTACTGCAAGGTTTGCAATAAAAATTGCAAGAGTTGGCAGAAGCCTGAAAGGCTTCAAAAGGACTTACAGAATGGGTTTTGCTTGAATTAGGAAAGCCCAATCAGGCCTTTAGTATCTCTTTGGCACAGCTTTGTGAATCTGTATTAACTGGAAATCATAAATGAAGTGATAGTAAATCAAGAATAATATGCTCATTTCTCATCCCTTTCTAAGGATTTGATTATGACA